TCAGAAGCCAAAAAGGAGGGCTTGACGAGCAGTGTCAAATGCTGCTGAGCAGTCAAGATTATACCTGAGAGCTACCTATTGGATTTACTGAGATGGAGATCACTGGTAAACTTGGTGGGAACATTTTTCAGTGAAGTTCAGTGTTAGGGGTATGAACAAAGTCCAACTGCACAAAAGTGAAATGTGATTGTTTTCCAGGAGTTCTCATACAACATTTATTTATAACCTAGCCCTTTGTTCCTGAGGTTTCTGCCCCGCACCCCGCCGCCCCCTAAAAAGAGGGTAAGGCGATACCTGGTGTGACTGAAGCAGATAGTGAGCTTGTGGGGACATAAGGATGAGTGAAGAACGGTTCTCTAGGAGCTCCCAGGCTAGTGGGGGCCATCGGACAGGTGCATTTTGATATGGGGAAGGAAATCCCTGGAGTCTAGAGGGTTGGAGTGGGCAGGATGGAAGACTAGGGCAGGGCTACATTATGACTTGCATGGGCCCTGGGCACTTTTGCCTTCATAGGCCCCTTCCTCAATAAAAAATATGTATATGACTGTTGATATAAAGATGCATATATTGCTATCATATACTAAAACATTTTCTTCCACTGAAAAGCTCATTTTTCCCCCCTTCTGAATGTAAAAGAAATTGAAACATTTTCATAATATGGGTCTTAGGCACCATACCTACAATGCCTAATGGATGAATCAGCCCTAGACTAGGATAATGGGGGATGGTGTGAGATCTCTGGCTACCTGGGAATGGAGAGGCATCTGCACTTAAGGCAGATCCCTCAGACCAGCCAGCTCCAGGAAAAGGCAAATTTGGGGTTTAGGAGTTCCGGAGGCTCATGCTGCAGATACTTTTTCATAGAGGAGGAAGAAGTAGTGTCCTTGCTAACAAACTCCCACCAGGCCAAAAGCTTCACCAGACAGCCGATTGCAGAGGAGAGCAGTTGGTTCAGTTGAAACCACCTCACACTGGAGCCCCAGCTGCCTTGGTCTTGTGAAAGCAATGCCATCAGCCCTCTGTCACTAATGTCACCGTCAGGGGAGACAGCTTTGGGAGGGGTGGCAAATAGACCTCCCACAGATAAGGTACCTGGGAAGTGCGAAGAATCCCGTGAATTGTCAGTTTCCACCACAGAGAGAGGTTTTATTCTGTGGGCTTTTGGATAAGTGTACATCTGTATGTGAGAGAAATGTGGAGTAGGGATGTGGTTCACGGTTGTTTCTGATTAATTCATTTCATTAAACACTGATTGCCTACCAAACGAGGAGTGGATGGGGTGTTTGTGATTTAAAGTGCCCAATTCAGATATTTTTCTTTAGAACATGGCTCCATGCATCTGAGCCCATTCTTGCTAAGCCCAGGAGGTTTGTGTTGGCTTGGAATCAGCAGCACTCACCCTCCCTGTTGCCAGGGTGATTCTCGGGTGGGGGATGGGACTGGATTCAGTTAGACTCACAGACACACACCCAGAACCATGACCCTCCCTAAGTCCCCTCCACAGCCCCCACCCATCTCTCCCCATTCTCCTCATCTCCACCCTGCCCCACCTCCTGAGTTTTCCATCTCTTGGCCTTTGTTTGTTTTTGCTTTTGTCAGTCTCTTTCCTCTGGATGGGTTTCTATTTGTTTCGGAACTGTCTGAGTCTGTGCACCATGGAGACAGTGTCCTGGGCTGCCCCCAGCCCTGATCTGGTTAGAATAAGCCCCTCTCCTTTGCATGCATCGCCAACCTAACACTGAGAGCATCCAAGTCATGACATTATGAAGCAAGATAGAAACCACCATCTCCACCTCCTCCTGCTAGCAGTCTTGTCCACCTGGAAAGGGTTTTTAGAAAATTTTTAGTATTCCACTGCAGGGTCCATATAGCGCAGCCCTGAGAAGGGGAAGCAGCATTTATTGAATACCTACTGTATACCAGCTATTGGACTAGGCTTTGCTTGGTGTTAAAAATCTGGTGGTGAAGATATTTCCTGCATTAAAATTCAACTGCAAGAAAAGTTTGTTGAGTGAATAAATGGATGAAATGGTGCAAGAGACTTCCTTGCCATAGAAAGTAATGATTGAATATCAGCAAAGGGGATCGAAGTTAGACTTGAGAAAAAAGGCCTTGGCAAGGCAATGTGTGTGGATGAGGGTTTCAGAGAAGGTTACAGACATCTGTTGCTTGATTTCAGGGAGTCCCATTTGCTTTCTGTCACCAGAAGTATCTCTGTGAGTAATGGCGGATGGGCAGAACAAACAGAGCCTTTTGTTTCACTTAAAAGGTTCAGACTTAAAATGCACGTGGTCCTAGAAGAGGTTAAACTATTGATAAGATGCTTTTTAATATACTCATGTGAATGAGGACAAAGCCTTTCCTAAGAACAGGTGTTAGTAATGAGTTGCGGGGAGCAGTGAGAAAGAAACCACTGGGGATTCAAGGTTGAGAGGACCTTTGACCATGTGAGGGGGTGATAGGAGAAAAGGAAGGCTGGGGCCACTGGAATCAAACTCTGAATATCTATTTGGCCAAGGGAAGACCCCAGTGAAAACAGCACGTGGTGCTGACAGGCCTTTCTACCCCTAGCAACATCGGTCAGTTCAGTCAAACTGCCCCACAGTGGGGCAGGAAGAAGACAGGGCCTGTCTGAATTCCAGAAAGTATAGATTGCAGACCGGTTTAAAGATGTAGTTTTACAGTCCTTAAGCAAGTACAGGCTATCCCAAATGGGCCTGTAACACAATGCCTATCAGAAGTCTATAGGGATTTAAAACCAGTGCATCAGCTATATTTTTAGATTTGAGAGTGCTTGAAAATTATTTGTCTTCTTAGTTTGACCATTGATTTCCTTTGGATTACATCTGTTGTTCCTGTTGCCCACAGTTCATTCACCTTCCTGGCAGCATACACACCCCAGCTTCCCTCTGGGGAACCAACCTCTTTTCCACTCATTAGATCTTGGTAAAACTTGCTGATTGGCTGGGGGCCCTGAGCCGCTGCTCCACTTTCGTGACCAATTTTAACAGTTTCAATTGGATCTTGTGGGGAATAAAGTGGGGAGGAGTCTTTAACCGATACCCTTTGCCACTGTGGAACTTCATTATTTTTGGTGTAAACCCTTTATTAAATATAGATATGGGTCTGCACCAATGGAAAGATTGAAGGAGAAAGGCACTACCATTTATCAAGTGCCTCCTACATAACGGGCATATTGAGAGATTTAATTCTCACAATATCCTTGTAAGGTAGATACTATAATCTTTATTTTATCAAAGAAGAAACAGGCTTGAAAAAGTGACTTGCCCAAAGCAAAAAGGCCTGTAAGAGACAGCGCTGATGCTGAATCTAGAGCTGGAATAATAAGAAAGGCAGGCAAGTGCAAGGCCACAACTAGAGGGGCTGCTTGAGCAGAAAGGATCTGGGCTGGTTGTGTAGGGAGGCTGGAATGGGCAGCACCAGGCCCAGGGGATGCAAACAAGCTCCCTTCACAGGCTAAGGCTGTTAGCTCTGCCATGTCCCATAAGCAAGGGGCACCTGGGATGCTGGGAGGGGGACCGTGG